CCAATTCCTGTCCACCCTAAATTTTATTGCTAACCTTGTATGCATTGCGAGTTTGGCAGTGAACAGTGAAGTTTGCCTCACTGTATTTCGCTTTACGATAATGATGATGATGTTCAAACGTAAGAACGAGTATATTGCTAATAGGTCATACATGGAGCATACATTTTTTGCAAATTGTGACAAATCAATGTTCTGCTGATTGAAAGTTAGTGAGATGCCAATGGAATAGTTCTTCTGTTTTGGTTCTGGTCTGACCCGTTCTTACCCGTTTGGACGCGGGAGTTGAGAAAGGATTGGAATGGTATAAGTGAATACGAATGCGAAGGCGATAACTAATTCACGCAGACTGAGATGGCAAAGAGAGTAAGCAGATGCACGACCGTCACGGTTTACGACAGTCCAATCCAAACGTCTCGAACCATCAACTGCCCGGATCCCGAGGTCCTTATCTATAACGTGACAATTTTAATACCGCTGTGCCAGGTCTCAGTTGGACCTCTTTATCCCAAATACCACCTGTCTCGGCTGATCACCGGAGATAAAATGGTGAAGAAAATAAAATTAGTGGTTGGTCATTGGGAATACGAATCAGTGTGGTCAAACTCCTTGATTGCCTCATCTCAGCCGCCTTTTCGCGGACTCGTACTCCTAATCAGACGGAAAAGATTTTGACTGTTACCGATAGCCGGAGCTTTCTCCCCTCACCAATTCTCACCCTAATTCCTCAGGCTGTTAATAATCTGACATCTAAGGTATTTGTGCTTAGAATCAAATTTATCACCCGAGGTAATAATGATTGTAAGACCGTCCAGCAATGCAGGTGTCGTTTGAGATTCATCGTTTGTTCCTAGATTCTGTGTCACTGTGCAGCGTTGTTTTGATTGACCTCCGAATGATATATATTCAATAAAGGGAAGTAAAATGAAAAGAATGAAAAAGAATATATATATTTCACACGTCTGACATCAGACTGTGCCAAATTATGTTGTAATAATCTTAATAAAAAGAAAAACGTTCCATAATTTACACACGGACTGAATATTGCCAGGTTGTCCAGGCCAAGATAAGTGAATTTTCTTCAGGAATCCTCAACCGCAGCCTTCGGCTAACCAAAGCCTCATCCGCAAGGCAGCAGGGCGGTGTGAGAAAATCACAATCCATTGGGGGCCGGTGTCCAGTTCATTGGATCATACGCCCATCGGACGGGGTCAAACGTCCAAAGGTGCCCAATCGAGCCGGTGACTACCGCCACAACCGGGAAGGAGTGTGGGTGGTTAGTTTCCAGCGTTCTGCCACGGGTGATTGAATGCCTTCTCCCTCCCCCAGCTCTCCGTTCCTAAATATTTACATTTGCGCTCCGGTGAACAGAAATACACATACGACATAGCATCGTCAACTCGAGCGTTTGAGGCAAGCGAACACAATTTGACTTGCGAACAAACATCAGTTGGATGGAGTATCAGAACAAGGATCCCCCGGAAACGGACCACGATCTAAAAATCACCAAAGTATGCGTAATTCAATTAAGAGTTTGCGGGATCTGTACAACGTTTGCTAATGACCATATGGTTGAGTCAAGCCCTAAAGGTATGACTCTGGAGAATTAGTTTAAAATTACGGAAATTGCCAGCACACAGAAAAATAAGCCAAGGGTACAATGAAGTAAGCGAGTGAGACCTTTAGAAGTTCACACAAAAAAATATATTAACCTGTTCTTATTTCCTGGGATTAAATTTTTAAATGCAGTATCACGATACCCCTTGATCCATATGTAGGAAAATTTCTCTGATTCTAAATGGTTGCTGGGCTGCAGAAAAGCATAACTTTTTTTAATAGGGTTTGTATGTGGCAGCGTACAAAGGGTCAAAACTACATGACTAAAACTGAAGATAACCCATCGATGGGATGGTTGTTGAATTTTTTTGGATATGTAGCATATTGTTCTAACGGTCGCACCCCTTCGGAGATAATGCTCTTTGTCACCGCATCTATCTCACAGATAGAAAATAAAACTATGGCTTCCATTGGAATGGTGCCGTCAGTCCAGTTGCCTTTCAACAGATTAGGGTCATTATCAAATCCACAAGCTGTGCAATGTGTCTTGTGGCCGTGGTGAATTGCATCTCATCGCCGTTGCCCAGTTAACTGCAATTTATCACCACTCCCCCTCATCACACAAGTTCGCCGATAGCACATACCAGATGTCCTTTGAGATCGTCGCCATTTACCATCCCGTGTCTCTCGTTCCAATCATATCGGTTACTCAAGAAACAAATAGGCCGATTCCATAAACAACCCGTATATACAGCTTGGAGAAGTCTGTATAACTCGCTGTCAGCTACTGCCTAAATGGTATCTATAGCGTGCTTAATAAAATACTGGTCAACAATCAGTGCATTGGTAAATAAAAGTGGAAAATATCTTGTCCCGGAAGTCATTTAAACCCGATTTGTTGTAACCTGTTCGATCGGCATCAAAAGGCATAAGGCCCCCGGCCCTGACGGACTGTCCTCATCGGCTTTTAAGGATGGAGGCTCAGCCTTGGTTTCGGAGTTAACTCCTGGGCTCAATATGGGAAAGAGAGGAGGTTCCAGCTGAATGGTGTGAGTCGGTGA